TTGAATTGAATGGTGATTGACAGAAATTCTTATGGATTAGATTCTTAGTTATTTTACTTAAGGGTAGCTAATTGGTGTATTTTCGTGTATTACATTTCAAATTCCAGGTCACATAAAAAACTTAAGGTTGTCTGTGAATTTACTGCCCATCAGGGAAATATTCAATAAGAGTGTTTTGTTATTTTGAAATATAAGAAAAGTTTTCCATTACCACTAGCTTTCTAAAACGTAAAAAGAAAGTTCTCTTGGCTGACAGCGTTTCTTTAATTTGTAAGCTGCAGGACAGGGTAGAAGCTGCTGTAGATTGCTTTCATTGATTATGATCGCTGCTTGAATTGGCAGAGGAAGAAGTGTTATGACGATGAAAACTTGTCTTATTGTTGTTATTAGCTGTTACCAAAGTCTAATTACTGTGCGTGATGCTAAAATGTGTAATCTGCTGACACTCTGAGATAAGGAGATGAAAAGAAATCAACTCATTCCAAATAGCTATTCTGGGTTTTTTTCATTATTATTGCTATTTCTGTGCACTCTCCTGAGTGACACTTTAGAGTGCATGGATTAAGTCATGGTTTTGGCTGGGGAAGCTGCCATCAAACTTTGGTTGTGGTTAAATAAGCTTTAAGCACCAAGAAGGAGATGAAAAGAAATCAACTCATTCCAAATAGCTATTCTGGGTTTTTTTCATTATTATTGCTATTTCTGTGCACTCTCCTGAGTGACACTTTAGAGTGCATGGATTAAGTCATGGTTTTGGCTGTAAAAGCTGCCATCAAACTTTGGTTGTGGTTAAATAAGCTTTAAGCACCAAGGGACTGAATAAAATAAGGGTTAGTGAAAGGTGATGACAAGGAATTCAGTTAATGGCACGTGCATCTGCTGAGTGAAGGCATTGTTATTAGCTATTAATTTGGTTGCTGTAGGCAGGATCCAAATGTGACTGAGAAGAGGGTAAAGCTTAGGGGCCCGGTTCCCATAGGAATCTGACATGGGAAACTGCTGTTTCTGCCATGCTGGATGCTTCAAAGCGGGCATTTCCACAGAAAAGTAGGGGTTTTCCCGCTGTCTTCATCAAGAAATCTCCTTCGTCTGGGAGATGGGCTGCTCTTTTCCAGTGTTGAGACATCACCTTAGGGACACAGTCCTCGGAAGTTTTGCAGAGCTTCACTTGAGCCGTTGAGGGAGCTCTGCACCCTGGGGAGTCCTGCCCTGACTACTGTGCTGCCTTTAGAAAATGTTTTGGGATCCTCTGGGATGACAGATGCTTGTGTATGCACATGTAACATGCTGTTAATAATTAGAGCTGATTGGATATTCAGTACAAATTACACTGGCTATGAAGTTAGCCCCTTCTTTAGGCTTACAAGTGGCTCACAAAACACTGTTAAAGCATATTTTTAAATGTATGTTTTTTCATAAACATTGACAGATTTAATTTGAACAAATGATGTCGAGTCTGAGTGTTTTAAAACTCTTGCTGGGCTGTTCACTGTCAGTTGTTAATGGTGCACGTTTGGATCTCTGAGTCACAGGGTAAATATTTTCTCTTTCTAATTTCTAGGATTAAACATGAGTTTCAATGATAATTTTAAGTGCCAGTCCCTCCTAATGGTGTGTCTGCCCCCACGCCTGGGCCTACGTGCCATGTCTTCAAAAAGAACTGCTTAGAGAAGAGAAATAGGTCTGACTGCATCCAGCAAACATGAGGAAAAGAGAGTATTTCCATTATCTCTCATTCTCCATGTCACCTGGAAGCTGGGTTGGAGCTTTCTTTTGCAGTTTTTCATTATGAGCTGGGTTGTTTCCCAAACCTGTATGTCCTTGTGTGAATCTGAAGGAAGAGCTGTGATTTTTTGGAATATTGACTCAGGCTGAATCTGCCTTCTGTGGAAGAAGAAGAAAAGTTCAGCCCCACTGGCTGCATTTCTGCAAAACAAAACCCACACATGCAGAGCCGTGCTCAGTTTCAAATTCATATTTGCTCTTTGTATCTGTTCATATATACTTGTAGGGATCCCTCTAAGACAGCACACTGTGTTGGCAGAAAATAATTATTCATTGGTAGTAGTACCAACAACCATGGTTGGTTTGAAAAGTGACTAATGATTTTGGTGTAGGCAAACCTGAAATACTTTAAAGAAGCCTTTTTTTCTGCTGAGGAACAGCTCTTCGTGAACTGTTAGGAACTCCAGCCTTGCTTGTTGCTAGAGGAACTGAAAAGGAACAAAACTCAAAGATATAATCATATATTTCTCTGTAATTGGAGGAGGGATGGTAACATCTGTGCTCTGTTCTTGTCCAGGAGAAATAAAAATCCACACTAGCAACATCTATATATCCCTTTCATTCACTTTGTTGCATCCATCGCAAAAAAGATTTAACCATTTACAAAAGACCTGAAATAAATTTTGCTCAAAATAGTGATGTGCAGTGCCATAAATAAAAGCTGTTCTCACTTATATAGCACACACATGGATACCTCTGCTTAGCAGTTAACATGCTTAGAAAACACACATTTTCTCTGTAAAAACAAACAAACAAAAACCCATAAAAAAACCCTAAACCCAAAGTGGCAGCATTCTTCGGGAGAAATGCCAAAGAGGATGGGATGGGAGCAGGGTTGATTATCCTTTTTCTGCCCACCTACCTTTGTATTTTCCCTTTGCACTCTCTCTCCCCCATTCCTCCTCTTTTTGTATAAAATAGTCCTGCAGTATATAGAGCATAAGAATCATTTCTCTAGCAGCGACTGCAACCTGCTTGAGGAACCTCCATCCCCATTAGAGGCTCTTTCCAGAAGAAGTAATTTCCTTCTCCCTATAAATTATGCATGAATGTACATTTAAGATTCTGAAATGATGAACAGAAGATGAAAGCGTTGCGGAGTGTTGCTGCTCCTATGGAGCTGAATCCACGACATTGTATACAGGCTCGAACACACCTTGTTAAGACAAACCTGCACGTGTTGCTGTCCTAGTACTCCGGCTGTAAAAACGTGGAGATAGGAGCTCCTCCGACTTCTCCAGCCTCAGCTCTGTAAGAAAGACTTTTTCTCCTCTTGGAAGGCAGTGAGTGGGAAAGATAGCAACGTGTGTCCAAACTGGTCTTCCCAGGTGGACTCTGCCAGCCTGAGCCAGGATGATTCCTGGTCTCCCTTGCTCCTGATATGTCCAGAGACCTTCCAGAGTCTCAGGTTGAGATCTGCGAGTGCTGGGGTGTGCGTGATCCCTGTGGCCTTACCCTAAAGCTGACAACACGCACAGCTTCGGGGTTATAAGGGGCTTAGATGCTCTAAAGGGAAAGGCAGTTCAGTCAGCTAAACAGGAGTTGAGATAAACAACTGGTACTTCCAAACTGAAATAAGGATATGTCATTCTGAACCTCGAGTGTGTGATGGCTGAGCAGTATGAAATGCGTCGGGTGAGTGGAACTACTGCATCCAGCAGTGGGGCAGGTCAATGCAGAGCTGCTTAGCTAACTTTAAACTCAGTGTCATTGCTCAGTGTATGAATGATGTTGTTGGCTTCTGCAACAAAAATACACGTGCATATGTATAAAAATAAATGAAAAAAAAATGCTTTTTAGCACAGATGAGGTTTTAAAGTGCCTTTGCACAATCTGCCCTTGGCATGTGGTTTCCATCTAGTGTAACAGGGGTAATAAAGGGGCATGTACGCTTTCTGGGGAATGGATACTAAATATATAACATCATTAGGTACTGAAAAATTGAAAAATGCTTTCAGGTTATACATAGCCTATGGAGATAGATGAAGAATGTAATCAAATGTACATGTATATTTTAGAGAAAAATTTTGTGCTGCTGCCACAGTTGGAGCTGTATGCGTGCACCCCCACATGGGTTTATACAAAGCTATATGGGAGAGCATCCCTTATATTTTGTCATGCCAGAGAGCGTAGGGAGAACTTTTAAGTTCACCCTTGGAATCCGCAGGTGGCAAATGAAAATTAATAATAATTCTTGAAAGGGAAAATTTGGGGAGTTTTATGTAAAACTGTTGTATATCACAGATCGTTGTATAAAAAGTAGAAGATGCGCCTTGCAATAGGCCTGAATTCCCATAATGCCCAGTGCTGCGGGAACCGATTCCAGACCTGAGATTCCTGTGGAGGGTTTCAGGGCAAGTCAAGCACTACTGTGGTGTTTGAGGTGAAACAGGAACGGTGAAATACCTCTGTGGGGTTCTGGCATCAATGAACCTGCACTTATTCTGTATTTCTTCCACGGTCAATGACAGCAAAGTATCCCAAGCACTTTGCACTGTTTGCATCACATCTAGCGATGGCTGCCAAGGACTGTGCATTTGCGTAACTATGGGTGCGTCTTTGTCCTTTCAAGTTTTGCTTTAAGGTCTGGTTGTTCACTTCTACCCAAGCTGACCCAACTGCTGAGCTTCCTCTTTGAAGAAAGCAGTGCCAAGTGGTACCTTTCCTTTAATCTCCTTTGGCAAAGTTTTCTTTTAGAGAGAGCATAGGTTTTGCTTTTTAAATGCAACATCCACCCTAAAAGAACCTGTGTATTAATGCAGGCCGTCGAGCCTTTCATCACTTATCTGGGTGATGGCAGACATGAATTTTTTATTTTCTGCCGGGCTCACTCCAGATCTGCCACAGCATTGTGTGGGTGCACACATGTAAAAAGGCTACTAATTGAAATTCAGATGTAACGAGATGAAGTTTTGCTATTCACCATGACTGTCTTTTGTTTTAGCCCTTGTATGCTCAGTGCACCTAAACAATGCAACCATTGCTTCTCCTTTTAGATTCAACAAGAACAACTTAAAAGGCAAGAAATATTTCTGTGTCTGCTCTAGGGATGAAATATGCCCCCCCCAAATGGGAATGGTGTGTGTTAGTTTATTTATGTACTTACTTGTGGGGAGAGACAGAGATTTTAATGGAACTGAAAAGAAAATAAAATAGAAATCTTGCTGCTATAAACTGCTCTCTTTTGAAGATGCAAATGTGTTTCTATTGCCTAGGTAACTATTATGGAACGCCCAAGCCTCCCAGCCAGCCCCTCAGTGGGAAAGTGACTTCCCCCGATGCTTTGCAAAACCTGCAGTCTGGCTCCAAGCAGTCGACTCCAAAGCGAACCAAGTCTTACAATGATATGCAAAATGCTGGCATAGTGCATACAGAGAATGAGGAAGAGGATGATGTACCTGAAATGAGCAGTAGCTTCACAGGTAAAACGAAAATATCACAGTCCATCAGTTACGATACATGGGGAAGATTTTTGGAGGGGGATTATTGTGGTTTTTTGTTTTTAATGGGTTTCCTGCAAAGCTGTCAATCCCAGACAGAACTGGCCGACAGCAGCGGGATGGCAGGTGTCTGGGTGTGGACGATAACATGCACAGTTGTGTCTTCTAAAAAGGCCTTGTGGGATTGAGCTTGATGAGAAAAAATGGGGAAAAGCTCAAATCCATTAGTTGCAGAAAGTTCGAGGAAGAGTTGAGCTGTGGTTGACGGTTCCAGTCATTATAAATAGTATGAAATGGCTCGACCAGGATACATTTGAAATTAATTATTGCTCCTTCCAAAATACGCTGCTGTCCTTTCCCCTTCCTTGCATCTAGAGATACCCGTCACATACAAGTACTAGGTCCTCTTCTCCAAGGTACCTTCCAGCAAACCAAGGGCTGCTTGCTGCAGGAATGAGGTCTGAAGCATGGGTGCAAGCTCTCTATTTTTATGAAGGCCTTGTGTCCTGCTGAACAGAGATCTCAATCCCACCATGGCTACCTTCGAGCATTGGCTGAAAGATCACTGGAAACTTTTGCAATCTGAAGTCCAGTGCTGTGCAGGCAGATTCAGAGCAAAATACTATTGGAGATCAGTTGAGTTTCCACGGAAGTGAACTGGAAGTTTGTGAAGCTCTGAGGGGCAAAAGGTCTTCCCCACGTCTGCAATCCTAGTATTTGTTAGCGCTTAGAGCATTACTTCCTCAGCTCAGTTTCAAACACTGAATTCATCTTCCTAGCTCCCTTTTGAGATAGGTACTTAGCAAGCAGCATCATCCACACCTTCAAGCCTTTCACAGCTGCTTGCTGTGGGTGCTCACCATCACTGGCGCTTGGTCCTTTGTCCTCTGGTCACTTCCTACCACCATGACAATTTTCCTTCCCAGCCTCTGATGGGTCATAGGAGCTGTCATGCCAGTTCCTACCTGCCAAAGTCCTGGCTCTAAGAACTGTATAGAGCTTTAAAAGGATTTAGGCTGAGATTTGGCTTTGACCCTCTCTGGGCCAAACTGTGAAATGGCTTTGAGGGTTGCGCTCTGTTACATCTTTCTAACCCAAATCACTCCTGGCTGGCCTAATCCCTCCCGGGCTGGAGTTTCTGTCTCTGCTTACCGGCTCCTTTACAAAGTTTTGCATCTAAGGGTAGTTTCTCACATGTTGTGACATGGCAGCAACCCCAGCCCTTGTCACAGGACATGAATTTGAGAGGAAGCTGGTGGGAGATGCTGTTTGACCTCCTTGCTGCCCATCTCAGTTTGGTGCCCCTGAACTGACTCTAGCATCATTTCTCTTCCTTGTTTTCCTTCACAAGATGAAATATTGGAAGGTGCAGCTCATTTGTCACAACGTTATCATACCCTGGCCCCTTGCCTCCATTAAATGGGCACAGAATCAAGAAAAGAGTTATTTCTCGTATACCAAAGTGGTTCCTTATGCTTATTTCACATGTAAGTGTGCTAGCCATATTAAAATGCTCCTGCTTCCTTAGAAGACTTCTCGGTGACTTGTGTTTTCCAGGCTTTGGCATGTTTACACTCGCAGTCTTAAGCTGGCAATGATTCATTCATGCTTCTTTATCTTGTCAGCTTCTACCTAAAAATATCGAATGCCAGGAAGGCTAGAAAGCAGGCAGCTGAGGGTACTAGTATAGTCTAGATCTTTTTCTTCCCTCTTCTCCCAGTTTATTATTTTCAGTATCTTGCCTTTTCGTAAAGGCAGCACACAGACTAGCAATAGCACGAGCTGTGGTTAACGACCCCCCCAAAAGCCAAGGCTGTGGGCTGTGAGTTGAGGATGGCAGTGGTCTCCGGTCGGGAGAGCAGAGGCGAGACCTTGGCTGTGAAGCCCTTTCAGTCCCGCTGCTTGGGGACTTGGCAGAGCGTGACGCTGATCTCTCTGTCTTTTGCTCAGTGTGTTGCCTGCTGCGTGTACTGGAGACTGGTGGTCTCAGGTGATTTGGAAGTACTGCCGTCGATTTTCAACACCTGCAAGAACCAAACAGTGAAAATCCCTTTGCTAGACACAGGGGTAATTTTAGAATTTATCTGTTGTTGCCAAAACCTCTCTGTGAAGGAGTTAGGGGCCCAGCCCTGGTTTGTGGAGAGCATTTACTGTGATTAGGGGTGGAGGGAATAAGCAGCAGTATTTCATGGATACAGCTCAAAACTGCAGGGATGTAAGCATCAGAAATGTTTCCTTAGAGGGAGGAGGGCCAGATACATCATAAAATACCCTTGAGTGACTTTGACTGGAAGGATACAGTGATGAGCCGTGGAATAAGCCTCCTCAGACAGCTAGAACAGGCACTAGTGAGCAGCAACATGTGGACACATGGTGTAGTGCTGACATTCATTTTAATTTTTAATTTAAAAAAACGCCCCACAGTAAAGTCGTTCACCATTAACTTGTTGACTTTGAGCTTCTGGCTACCTTCTGCACTTGTAAAAATCTCCCCTTTTGATCATTCTTCAAACAGGAAATTTTATTCTCCTAATCCCTGTCCCACAATTGGCACTGCGGGAGTGAACCTGTAAGCCTGCTCAGAAGCCCATTGAACTCATCTACATCAGTAAGCCCTGGCCTCAGACAGCTTGGAAGACTTTGGTACCTCAGCAGGGCCTATTAGAGCGAACACAGTAGCTGATCACAGCTTCTGATTTGTGCTGGCGAGGGTCTGGCTGGCAGAGTGTGTGTGGGCAAAGCAAGCTCCTCCCTGCTGGCAAAAAGGCTGCGGAGTCTCTGCCCTCAGTTCATCTGTTGCTGTGTCTTGCGAATTAAAAAGCAAGGAGAGGAAAACTGTAAGGATAAACCCGGAGAAGCAAATGGGAGGAGAAAAAGACTGATTTTCAATTTTATTTGTGCTTGTTTATTCTACAGCAGAGTCTGGTGACCAAGACGAGCATAATACGCATATCGTAAGAGAGACAGCCCCACCGTCCGCGATTGATAGCCACACCAACGTTCCCACCACGGAACCATCTCAGAACCTCCCTCAATACCTACCTCCTTCTGCCGAGGATAACCTAGGTCCTCTGCCGGAAAACTGGGAGATGGCCTACACCGAGAACGGAGAAGTCTATTTTATAGAGTAAAGCACATTTTTGTTGTTCTAATTCCATCTCTCTCACTCTGGGCATAAGTAAACCTCCATGGATGCATTTTGTGTGTGTATGTGTGCGTATGAAATATTTAGTGTATACAGTTATGTTGCAGATCTGTAAGTCCTTTACCGCTTCTGAAGGGGTTTTGCATTTCCTGATTGGATTAACATCCAAATTACTCCTGAGTTCAAAGGCAGGGGGAATTGCTCGTTTTATGAGGGTAGTTACAAAAGCAACAGACACTTATAAAATATGGGCCAGTTGTTTTCACGGGTGGAATGAAAGCTCCTAATTGAAAGGGCTGAGACTTCATTTCTGGAGCCTGCCTCTGTGCATAATGCAGCAGAGAGGGTTCCTCTGGTCGTGCTCAGGTGGTAGCAGAGCCAGGGAATGGACTTTGTGTGATGTCTTCTCGTCAGAGCAAATGGGCCAAAAGTGTTAACATGCTCCAGTGGTTTACAGAAGGCATAGCTCAGTGCAGGGTAGGCACAGTAAGTTTGGAAAAGCAAGAAGTACCTCGTGCTCTGCAGACTTTGCCTAAGAGCTGAGTGCTGTCAGCAGTTTTATGATGATATTGATTTTTTCATGCCATAAATAATAGTCTCTAATTATACTTGTCTAGATTTATTGAGATAGGAGTAACTTACAAAATGGGACCTGTTAGTGGAAGAGATTTCTTGCCCAAAGTGTAGCTAGGCATTAAAATTCAATTAGCTTTTGAAACTCAAGCCCTTAGCTGCCCAAGTAGAGGAAGGGGGTGAAGAATTGATTTTGGATTTGATGATCTGTTTAATGCGGTCTTGGAAACTGAGATCCTCTGTCTGTGCACCAGAAGCCAGTGGCCAGTTAGTACCGAAGAACCTCCTCTGCTAATGCCCCTTCTGATACTCCGGAGAATCATGCTGGATTAGGGCAGTGAGGGGAGCAGTCCTGCTCCATCATCAGGGAGAGGACTTTTGGACAGGGCCAAGGAAAGGTTCATCAGAGCAGGTTTTCCCCTGGCTGCAGTGGCAGGGGAACACATCAGAGAAGAGTGCCAGAAGATCTGAGGAGCTGGGAGGACTGAGAGCACCACAGCAGCTCTTCACCAGCTGGGAGAGGGCTGCTGCAAAAAAGGCCATTTTCCAGGGCGCTCTCAATTACCTGAAGGGGCTCCACCAACCCCCTAGTGTAAGCCAAAGTCTAGTAGGCACAATGCAAATTCTCATCAGCTGCATATCAGATGAAACTGAAATGTGTTCATTATCCCAAACGCGGTATTCTGCCCCTCATTATGTCCTCAGGGTGCCTCGTTCTTTGACTTACTTTCTGGCTTTAATGTATATAACACAGCCTGAGTAATAGCCCATCCAGCCTGCCATTTTCCTCCCTGGAGGAAGACAGATGATGAGCACTAAATGCTGCCCAAGCAGCTGGTTGCTCCCTTTTTTGTCCCCACATGGGCCCCTGCTGTCCTTCTTTACAGGTGCTTCAGCAAGGGGTTCTGCTGCTGTCAGCAGCTTCCCCAAAACCCATCCCCATCGTTACTGTATTCTCTATGTGCGTGTGTTCTCTTAGCAATGCAGGACTGTAGCACCTTAAATAATTTGTTAGACCTTTTGCAGGAGAATCATATATGTAGTGGAAAAATATAGCCTGCGTACACGGCTGTCTGTCTGACATGAAGATCTGGTAGCACACCAACTGCTTCCTTCCCTGCAGTGCAGATTGACCATTTTGAGGATACATAGGGGGTGATTTTTGTGCAAGAATGTGTTAGTGTGGATGCAGCACTGAATGACTGCAGTTCTATTAATTCTAAGGACACCCTGAGCCTAGAAACAATTTAGTTTGATTTGTATCAAATTAAGAGAGCAAGCTAATGAGCTGTGTGGACCCAAGCTGGCTCAGATGTCTGTACCGTCATCTACAGCGCTTTGGGTTATCAAGTCAGGGTGCTGAAGGGAACAGTATGGGAATATCTGAGCTGCTTGCACAGAACCAGCACAGGTCCAGTGGGGCCAGAGCTGCGTGTCAGATAACCGATCCTGATGGCTTGTAGCTGAAGCAATTTGGCTCTTGAGATGCGTTTCTCTGGTGCTTTAATTGGGATTTTCATTACACAAAGTATCCCAGTCCCTCATTACCCTGCATGTAGATCTATGCGTGTTACAGGTCTAACACAATCCTGTCCCTCTGAGTGTATGATCTAAAAGGTGTTTAGCTAAATTTTCTGTGCCTCAGCAAAGCACACTGTTGTGAGCCTTCGGTGAGTGAGAAAAAGTTGCAAGAAATATGCAAATATTTCATTGCTCTCCTCCCACCGCCCTGTTTCTCAGCTAGACTACAGACTTTCTTATTTATAAGTTAGCAGAACCCCTCTGGTTTATTGCTGTTAATTTGCCTGACTTGCTGAATTTCTGCTATTCAGTTTTCTAGTTGGCGATTAATTGCTCTGAAGCACACAAAAGGATTAAATGCATTTGCTCATCCTGCCTTGGGAGGGCTGGGTAGTGGGATGTGTAAAACAAGGACCTTTTATTTATGCACTCAGATCCTAGGAGCAGGGCAGTCCCCTCTTCTCACAGTAAAATACAAGTTTGCTGGTCGGTTGTTAGTTCCTCAGGGATCATAGCCCTCATTACAGCATTTCCAGCTTTGTGAGACTGTTGTGAGGCTAAGGTTAAGTTTGTAAACCTCTCTGAGACCTTGAAGGAGAAGTAAATAGCATTACTACAGTACTGAAACTTAAAACTGTTAAGCAGTGTTAAAGGCTAAGCTAGATAAATGATACCTCAGGGACTGGAGGGCTATCTTTGCAGGTTATGTCTAAGATGACATCAGGTTAGATGACCTTTAAAGGTCCCTTCCAACCCAAACTATTCGATGATTCTATAAGAGGCATTATATTACAAGATTGTCTCTGTATGCAAATGAAATGATGGGAGAAAATAGTTTCTAGAAAAATGTATTTTAAGCCTGTTTACTATGCAGCCTTCACTGCTGGGACTAGCATCGCAATACTGTCAGGGCACTTGCAGAAAGGAAGGGTTGAAAGTAAAGCTGTTCAACTTCCATCAAAGGCTTTGGCAGAACATTTTTATTTGTGTAATTAAAAAGTTTTCACTGGAAATTTTGTTTTTGACTAATGCCTGGGTCAAATCTAGACAAATGTCAAAGGTCTTTTGCAGGAACAAAGGTCACCGCATGGTTTAGGAAGGAAGCGAAACTTCTGTCTTTTCATCAGGAGACAAATGGCTCAGAGACAGCTCCTGGAATTAACAAACAAACCACCAAAGACAAAAGTTTGGAAATTAATATTATAATATTGCAGCTTTCACGTGCACCCTTCCAGTCAGGAATGCTGATCTGTGTATTTTCACTTTCCACCTTTGTGTTTCCAATGCCAAGATTCTTGTGATTTGGTAGACTAGTTTGCAGAACATCAAATCGTAATGCCGTTTCTTCTGAAGCAAAAGTATGCCTTCAGGTCTGTTGAATAACAAAGAGGATATATACATTTATGTCACTGATACTTCAGCTCTGCTTTATTAACAAAGGTCATATTTCCATTTCTGGTTTTCAGCCATAACACAAAAACAACATCTTGGCTAGATCCACGGTGCCTGAACAAACAGCAGAAGCCTCTAGAAGAATGTGAAGATGATGGTAAGAGACTGAAAATAGTGAGATAATAATGCGTTTGGTCCATTTCTAGGTGGCTTTCTTCCTTTCCTTTTCCCCTTTCCCATAACCTCTGTTCAGAAATACTCAAAAAAAAAGTTTATTAGTAAGTGCATAGAGACAATATCCGTTACGTTGTTGTAAAATCACTGTCTGTCTATGTAAGATAGCCATTGAGATGGCAGATCATTTAATAAAAATCAAAGAGGTGCTAGAAGTAAGAGGCCTCTGTTTTTGCAAAGACATTTGATTAGTTGCTGATGCTGAACAAGACTCAAAGCTTTCTAACATGTTCGCTCCTTGGATCGCTGTGTAGGAGGAAGCGACTGAGTCTCTGTGTGCTCCATTGTGTTACGCTTCAACCACCTGCTTTACATGAATTTGAAAGAGTTATGTTGTTATTTCCTTGTTTGAGCAGAAATAACTCAATTGCTTCACTTCTACTGTTAAATTCTGACAGTCCGCTTAGTGTTGTGATTGCTGAAAACAAATTCCATTTGAAAGTGTAGATGTTTGCCACTGAAAATTTACACTGATGTAATTTTGTATTCCTTGAGATGTTGGAAATGCAAGCCACTGTCCAATTTAGAGCAGCCAAATGCAGGACTGTTAAAGGAGATTCTTTCCCTGCATCCTTTAGGAGATGCTGGAAGAAAAAGGGAATCATGATCAAAATAACTTAAATGTTTGGGAAAACCTGTGTGGAAATTCTGGTCTACTGACCAGGAAAGCTGATGGTATTATAATGCATAATTTTGGCTAGCACAATGCTATCATGGTAGACATATCTTAAAAATTGAAGGGTTTACTTCGTCAGTGTTGGTGCTGTCCTTGTAAAATTAGTTTTCATAATATGATTAACCTCCTACTGGTGTGAGTCAGCTCAATAAGAGTTATGATTTTACTTCAGAAAAGGATCAACTCGCTTCATCCCTTTTTTACTGGTAGGTTCAAATCTGGCCTCCAGAACTGCTGTTAACTATTTTTGCACATGCAGTTTTTGAACCTCTGCTTCCTTTCACGTGTGAGATTTTGCAGGATGTGAGAATTTGCCTGTGCAGCCTTCGCTGCCACGATGAAGCAGGTCACCAACTTCTTAGTGCACAACGCAGCATGCACCCAGACCGCAAGGATGTGCAAAGCCCAGGCAAAAACCAAGCATACCGAGCTGACGCCTGCTTCAGATCCTTAACAACTGGTGTCGTCTGTCAAGGAGCGAGCAGAGGGAGCTGGATTAATGAAGGCCTTGCTCTGCGCCTAAAAATGGATATGTCAGTGGGTAATCAGAACTGGAAAAAAATTAAATAATAGCGTATGCAGGCAAAGCTCCCTCCTCCTTGCAATTAAGCATTGCTGGCAGTTTAGAGAGGAGGTTGCAAAGTCTCAGCACAAGCTTTCCTCTTTCAGAAGGTAGTTTTCCCTGAAGCACAACTTCTGTCCTGGCTTTCTCTCCCAGCAAGACTCCCGCTACGTCGATAGCCCCGGTGATGCCAACAAGCGGCAGGTGCCGCTGTGGGTCAGTGCGCCCCGCGCTGTGCTCTGAGACAGGGCAAGGAGCAGCCGGTAGGATGAGTCAACAGCGGGCGGCCAAGCTCCTCTGTTAAACAGTTTTAAGTCTCCTCGCAGAAAGGAAAGTCTTTCAAACCTCTTGTCTTCTTAGCAATTATAAAACAAGCATTGGGATAATTTATTTAATTGGGATTAGAAACATACAGCTGGGTATTTTTTCGTATTCAATGAAGTTCATAATTTTACAGAGTAGTGGCATTTTTGTTTATCAGTCAGGTCCTTAAAATCAGCTAATTTCATCTTCCCCCACACCCCTTCACTTCATTCACTAAGTTGCTCATTAATGAATATTTTTAACATTCAATAATTAAACCAGTTGCTTCATAGGTACAGCAGTGCACTGCACTGTTTTTCTTGGCTGCTTAGATCTTGCTTTGCACATAAGAATAATTATGTTTTAGAAAACAATGTGAGCACAAAGAAGAGAGAAGGTTATTTTTACTGCATCATAGAAGTTGGACGTTTTTTGGCAAGGCTCACTGTTGGGAGTATTTCCACTGAAGTCAGTGGGACTCCTCGTCTGTTCTGTTTGTTGTGTGTGTCTGCGTGTGAGTTTTCAGGCTCGATCCCATCCTGTTTGTGGTTTTTATAAATGTTAGATGTCGTTTCAGATTTGTTTGGGTGCAGTTGCCTTGTGTTTTTTCTTCGTCAGGATCCATGTCCCTAACAAGTTTTTGGTCGTTTCCAGTTGTTCAGGCTATCAAAGGAAATTGCAATTCATATTTCACGCTAACGGTCCTGAACAACTGTTTTGGTAGAATATATTGCAAACAGGTCACGGAGGTGGTTTTTTAGGTGTCCAAATTTTCAAAAGCAATGCTGTGATGCTACATCTTCTGTTTGCTTCTATCATTCATTTATGTGGCTTATACTTTACTGTGTTAGGTCCAAGATTGTTTTTACCATCTTTGTTCTGGTTTTGTCATAATCTTTCATTTTCAGACTGCATTATTATTACTTATAGGCTAAGCAATACTTTAATCATCTGTGTCACTGTTAACTTATGAATATGGAGCAGATAATGATAAATGGAGCAACAGTGAATATTGATGGCTTCATGTGTTTGAAAAATTATGTGATCTTTGTCCCAGGTGCCCCGCTCAAACCGGTGCATTCCTGTATATGCCTCACCAGTGCATCTGTTCTTCGCTGTGGGCCTGCGACTCCAGTTAAACAAGGCGCTTCGCTTCATGTCTATCTTAAATCATCCGAGTAGTTACAGTGAAGTCAATTGGACCTTGTATGCACATAAATTTAGGTACTTTCTTGAAAACCTTGCTACATTAGTTCTTATTTAGATGCAAGGTTTTCCTCTCAGATTTCTTCATTGGTATTCAGCTCTGGCCTGCTGATAGATCCGTGTGTCTACAGAACGGACTGCAAAGGTCGGACCATACAGATCTGAGGGAGAAGCTTCGCTACAGTGAGAACACCACAAATGTATTCCTGTGCCATATCAAACTGTGGCATGGAAGGTAGTCAATTGATACAGATTTTTTGAGAATGCAAGAACGCAGTTCTTTCATTATCTACATCAGATCCATCAATATTCTGATCACTGAAGGGTGATAAATGGGAAGCTTGGGCTCGGTCTATAGAAAATTAGTGCTGGTTCTGCTGTTTGCTGTAGGGAATTTCTTGCTTGGTGCTGGTATCTGAAATTTTCTTTTAATTTTTTCTGTCTCATTTACTGCTCTTCCCTTGGAGAAGAAGGGGTACACACGGAGGAACTGGACAGTGAACTAGGTAAATCATCCATCTCTCGTTTTGATGTTTGACTTCAACTGCACTGTTTTAAGCCTTTAATTACTTTCTCCTTTGTATCATTTTGCATCTTTCAGTTTTTTTATTTCAACAAGCCTAATTTATCAGCAAAACTTCCCTAGCACACAAAGCATTAATATTCCCGTAGCTTCAGATCTACAGTGTTTTTCTTACTGGTTCAGAGTTTGAAGAAACCTGGAGAACCTTAATCTTACAAAGTTTGTTCCAACTTGCTTCCTCCTGGACCCTGCAGAAGTCAGGGGCTTTTCCATTGGCATCACTGTCTCCAGGAAAAAGCTTATAGATGCCAAAGTTGAAATCAAGTAGCTAATGATGCTTTTTTTCACCGGGGCCAAAGACATTTCCCAGAGAGGGGAAGCAAAGTGTGATTTAGAAAGTTTAAGAATTACATAGGATGCTTCTGCTGAGCTTGTGAATGAAACAGCAGAAAATTTTGCCTCAGCAGGTGATTTTATAAACAGATGATTTTCGATGATGTGGTACACTTTTATTTGCTGCATCTTTTTGTGAAGAATTCTGTCTTGGTATCTAATCTCAGCGGTGCTCATTCTGTTTATGCTGCTGGTGGAGGTAGTTGTTATTTCTGTTCAGCTATGCTCTAGTGCACTTGGAAAGCTGAAAGGCGTAAGAGGTTGCATAGGATTTTATTTCCACTAGGTCTATTATTGCTTTTAAAGAGGACTGTATTTACAGTTTATAGGCCTGCGTACTGGAGGATTGTATTACCAGAGAATTAACCTCTGGTTTCTGTAATGACTTGCAAGTGTGTTCTGCTTCCCACTTCTGCGTGATTGGTACGGCATCAGCAGCCAGCAGGTATTGAGTGGACTTTTAACACTACTCCAGGAACTGTTCTTTGGGATAATACGCCTGGAATAATGTTGGAGGCCTAACTTCTTTTAGTGCCAGAATTTGAAAGAAATGACAATTTAAAGAAGAACGCAGTCACTTTAGTGGTACATTAGCATTCATACAAATAATCTACAAATAACAGATGGATGCACACCAACAACCCGCAAAGATTTCTCATGAAGGTCTTCACAAGGGTGACTTAAAGTAAGAGAGACTTTAAAGAAAAGCAAATTTAGAGGCAATAATGAAATGGAAATGCTCCCTTCTTTCAGTCTGGTATCAGGATCTAGTGCAAGAGAAGAGCTGAAAAAATAGATGCAGGGAAACTCATGAATTGATAAGCCTGACCCCAGTTCTGCAGGCACTTGCGTACACAAGTGTTTTGCTCGGACATCACGAGATGTTCCCTTTGGTTTAATGCCAATAAGCTTTATTGAGCTCACAGCCCTTCGATATACTGTTGAGATCTGCCAATGTTGCAGTGTAAAGACAGACATTTTCAAATGGCTCAGTTGGTTACAGCAACGTTAGGGAGGGGGCATGAAAACATATGGCCTGTTCACTAACCGTACTCATGATTAGTGTAAACTGGTTGTTGCCAGATATTTAGCTTCTTAGTTTATTAACAGTTTCTTTTCTAAACATAAGAAAATCAAAACTTGAAGCATTTGCACAACTTCTTGTTTTCCAAAGAAGTGGATTGAATATGGAGTAATAGATCACCTCTCTTTTAACAGAAGGTTATACAAAGGACACAAAAATTTAATCTTTGGAGTAGAATTTGACGTACACTTGGGCAGATCCTCCTGGACTCACAGGGAGCAGTAAGAGCTCAGTATCCCAAAGTCACCTCCAGCTCCTTTTTAGTGATGCATAGGTGTGACCAAAATCCCTGGTGGTTGGAGAGGTTCTTTTTTAGGAATCCATCCATCCCCTCTGTAGGGTTGGATATTAAACAAGAGCATCTCAGTAGGAATCCATGTATTTATCCCAGACTTAAAAATGTAAAATTGGATATCTGTGCATTGAATTCACGTGCTGACAAATGCTTTGAGACTGCAGTGCTGCATGGAGGTACCAAAATAAAAGCCATATGGCTCACTCAGACTCCTAATGATGCAAAATGTTTTTGGAAATCTTATATTTGTGATAAAATCTAATGCTCTGGGTCATCTTCAGTTTGGCAGGAGAGGTAGAGAAGGGAAATGAATAATTTAAAGCCGCTAAGAAGCCAGACTGTGCAACATGGCTATGGAGAATATTGCCTTTTGCTTTAGAGAAATTTCAGAGGCTTTTAGAAGTTGGAAAGTGCATCTACGTAATCAACAAGTAATGTGCTGAAAGCTGCAGTTTTGTGTATTGTAACTTCTGAAAACATAGAAGTGTGTTCCTTAAATGGAAAGCTGCAGAGATAAAAAAATTGGAAAGATTTTGGCACAATACCATTTTTGAGGTTAGGAAAGTGCTGGTTTTCTGACCTTCCATGAAAATTCTTTAAAAGAAAAGAAAAAAATAAAATTTAATACCAAAAATTTTGTGAACAAAAGAAAAGCAAAACATTTTTGTTTGAGATTTAAAAATCAAAAACACTTAGTAGTCCAAAACAGGTAAAAGATATTTAGCAGGAAAAATTGTGGAAAACTCATTTTAAGGCATTTGTGCATTACTTCTCCCTTCCCCCATTCATTTTTTTTTTCTTTTTCTTCCACTCCAGCTTGGTCTCTTTACCATTCTCTTTCACCGTAGTGCAGAGAATTAAACGGCTGCCACAACTTGTGATTTTCCTGATTGTATGCTAGGTCTTAATTTACTTGCACTGAAATTCTTTAAGCCAGTCCCACAGTGTTTTCACCATATGGGACTCCTTTGCAAACCTGAGAGTTCCCTTTGCGAAAAGACTTTCAAGATTGGCCTCTAGCTTTCTAACGTTTTCTCACATACACTTGCACAGTGTAAAGGAATATCTGTTTCTGAAGCCTTCATTTCAGATCGATCTGCTGATGAAATTGTGGAGTATTTTCATGCCCAAAAGTTAGCACTGGCTTGCATTTAATTGCTTATGTCTCAAGGAATCCAAAGATGTTAAACCCAATAAGGATAATATAATGATGAGAATGGAAAACCTACCTTATAACTGCAAATAAGGGACATGTGGAGCAAAAACCATGAAAATCGATTTCATCTGATCTCCAGCCAACTCTGAACACAAACATAAACTTTGAGTAATTAGTCCATGTGTGTTTGTATAGATTCTGTTCATCTCCAGTCTGGAGATATTTCTATCCTTATGGCAACATAGCTGAAGTTTATAAATGCAGAACTAGATAGTTACACTTATCCTAATTAATGGGCCATTGTTGATTGTATTGGCTCAGCAGTTGACACCATGAATGAAAATAAATCTTTGCATTTGATAATAAACAAACATAGAATATTTGCTATCAGTCTTGTCAATTTAGTGATAAATTTTGAGGAATTATTTTGCATGGAGTATTTGAACTTGTGTTATCTGACAACGGTTTTTTTAAATTATTATTATTTTTATTTAAATGAGTGTGCAGAGTCTGTGGGGCAAGGACCACACTTGCACAGTCCATAGCGTGGTGGAGCCTTCTTTCGAGTTGATTCATAGTGTTACACAAACACACCGCTCTATTGTTAATGGTAATAGATTATTTCAGTACCCACAGCCAACGGGAACATTGTGTTTAAATGAGTGGGACAAGGATCAGGCCCTTAAGTGGTACATACAGCTTTAATAACCCTCAGTTGGATGCTGAAGTGATTTTATTACATTCACTAATTATAGTTAAAGTACTATGTGCAGTCTAGAAAATCAACAGGAACAAAAGTGGATACGTTTCCAAATGTTAATTTCATCTTCAGAACTGTTTTTTGTTAATTATGCTAATTAAAAAAGGAAATCTCTGTTACATGTGATTATGGCAATATGTGTTTTTACATTAAGTGCTATGCAGTGAAATACATCTGTGTGTGCCAGCCCCACTTGGGTGGATTCCATATGCTGGGCGTTTATGTTAAACTCACTTTGTCCTGTTTTGAGATGCACTTTTGCTCACGGAGGAGCGATGCAGTGTAGATCCCTAAGAAAGGAGTCAAAAAAACCTTTTTTCAGCAGCGGTGAGCACAAATGGCTCAGCCCTGGTACAGGAGATGAAAGCGGTCTCTCTGTTAGTGTGCTACAATTGCTTGCCGTAATCTCACCCATCTTCATATGCTGGCGTTAAAATGCCTCTGGCCTGTTGCCTGCATTGGCTTCCACTGCAGTGCCTCCATCCAAAGCCATGATGGTCAAACCAGGAGGGTACTTGAGGCACTCCCAGAAAGGAAATTTATTGATCATTTGTTCATTTAATGCAGAAAAGCAAATCTAAAATTGACTGGCATGGGCATCTTCCCATTGATTTGCTAAGCCAGCACTGGTGGGACAGGCTATGACATTGGTGCCGTGCTATGCCAACCTCTAAAAGGAGGCTGTGATTGGTCTGAAAAGTGTTCAAAGCGAAGTCTGAGCTGCTGATGAGTTTTGCACGCTGAGCAGGACCTGTCAGAAAAAACTTCATTGGAGGCTTCAGTAATGCTTTTTCTATTTCCAGAGTTGCCTGCTGGTTGGGAGAAAATTGAGGATCCCGTCTATGGTGTCTACTATGTAGAGTAAGTGCTGCTCTCCGGCTGTGGTGTGGCTGTCGGGTGGAGGAACGCTTTTCTCCACAGCGGTCTCTGTGCTTTGTTGGTAGCATCTCATACCGAGGAGGAGGAGACACTGGCCCCTATACAGGCTGGGGGATGCCATAGGGGCTGGGAGAGGGAACTCTGCCTTGCTTGCCCTTCCCCATCCTCTGGTGGGCTCTGGCAGCAGCACCCTGGGGTGGAGGTGGGCTCAAGTGAGACAGGAACATCCTGCGTAAGCTCCAGGGGTAAGCTCAGGGGAGACAGGAGCACCCCTGGGTCAGGGCGTGCAGGAGCCCCAGCACCTCACAAAATACTTTTATCTGGAGAACATTAACAAGTCTGCAATTAACTGAGCTCAGTCCCCTTTGTATAGCGCTATGATCAACATACGAGTGTGCAAAGCAGACCACCAATTCAGTTACGAGTCAGAAGACACTCAAAAGGAGGAATGGACGAGCCTGTGTGACCGAACAGCCACAGCAGAGGTTCTTGCGTCAGGCTGTGTTGTTGTGAATAGAATTACAGGTTTAATGGGACTCTCTCTGGAATTAGAACAGCTTCTTCTTTATCTAGATGTCAGATAGCTCCCTTGGGAAACCAGAGATCTGAGTTTTGTTTCATCACGGACCCCATAAAATGAATTTTTAATTATGTGTATACTCCTGTCTGGTAGGATGGCTTATGATAGCCCTCAGAATAGACATGGAATACAGTTTCTGTCTGCTTTGGCTCATTTCTGACCCTACCATCTGTGCCTAGGGACACAAGGTTAGCAAACTGTGTAATTAAGGCTTGACATTTATTTACCAAAGACATCAAGGATATTTTTCAGCTATTAAATGCCATGCGAAGAGGTCTTACAGCATTTTTTCCTGTCACTTTATATATACATGCCCATTAGTTTTGTGGCACTCCTTAGTGATGAAATTAAACAGAAAAGTAACAGCAATGAGACATAAGTTTCTTTTACTTACTTACTATCTATAAGCTAGCAAGATGGTTATAATTTGAGCATTTGTCTCTGTTCCTTCCAATTCAGGCACGCTATTATTGCATAATAGTTTTTATTGAGAAACAACTGTATCATAAAAAAGTTTATATGATTTTTAAAGTAGTTATCATTTTTTCTTAACTTTCTGAAGATATCTTGAAATGGGAAATCTTTTACAGAACTCATTAACTTGTTTTTATTTGAGTAGTTAAATATTTTTCCAGTGATTTAATATTGATCTTTACGAGAAAAAAATTCTGAACAACTTACTTACTATCTATAAGCTAGCAAGATGGTTATAATTTGAGCATTTGTCTCTGTTCCTTCCAATTCAGGCACGCTATTATTGCATAATAGTTTTTATTGAGAAACAACTGTATCATAAAAAAGTTTATATGATTTTTAAAGTAGTTATCATTTTTTCTTAACTTTCTGAAGATATCTTGAAATGGGAAATCTTTTACAGAACTCATTAACTTGTTTTTATTTGAGTAGTTAAATATTTTTCCAGTGATTTAATATTGATCTTTAGGAGAAAAAAATTCTGAACATAACTATCTAGAGTGCTTCTATTGTAAATACTTGAAAAAGTGGTTGGTTGTTCATTCAGGTTTGGGGTTTTGGGGTTTTTTTTTGATAAAGACGTGGGACAAGAGACAATAAAATAGCAAGTTCTTAATGGTAAACTTTGCTTTGAATACAAAGATGGGCTTTAAGCTAATATAATTTTCCAAGGTCTATCTGCTCCTCTGCTGTAGCAAAATCACTACTGAAAAATTGCTCTTGAACAGTTGATGAGCAGCTCATCTCAGCTGCAGCCATCAGCTGCAGAGAGTCCCCAGACCTGCCCCCACCGCCCTGGCATCTGTGGCTGGTGTTTGTCATTTGGTTTCATGAAATGGTTAATCCTCTGCGGAGTGCATTGCTTGTCTGCCGTGTTTGGGGCTGGGCTGCTTTTTTTCCCTTTCCCTGAGCTTGGTGAGAAGTATTGGCTCTAAACATCTCATACAGGTCAAAAGCTGCCTAATGGCCCTCCAAGGAGGGCAGCTGAAGTTTCACCAAATGCTGGTGTCCACTGGGAGTATTTGCTGGTGGCTGATTCTGAATATATTTTGATCCATTTGGAGCCCAGCTTTCCAGCTCATAGCCTGCATCTCCGCAGATATTTTTAAGACACCCTGTTAACAGTGTGCACTCATCAGATAGCTGACAGATGTTACCAGCTGTTGGGGTTTTTGTTTTGGTTTTTTTTTAACTTCAGCGAGCCAGGGAATGACTGCACCTCTGGGAATCTGATTAAAGCAGGGATGATATAGGGATGATATATGTCTTTTAAAATGCAATCAGACAGAGCACCTTTTCTGCTTTAATCTCATTTTTCACAGATAGGTCACTACTTTAATGTATTTGAAGGAATTAGCCATTCCTACTCAAGACATCATATCAATACTGGAATCCGCTTGTTTTCCTAAATATGCTTTTTGGCATCACTAGGTGAGTCTTGCTCCACATACACTGCTGTTGGGTTTGTTTGGTATTTCACTCCTTTCCTCAGAGGAGTTTCATGCCTGGCCGTCATTCCTGCTTGTCACATAAAGGGTTTCCTAATTTATTGCTCTCTTTCATCTCCAGCCACATCAACCGGAAGACACAGTATGAAAACCCAGTTCTTGAAGCAAAGAGGAAGAAACAGCTTGAGCAACAGCAACAGCCACCAGAAGGTTGGCACCACCGAGGGCGTGATGGTTGGGGTTTTCATGAGGGAACGTGCCCTCCCTGGCCTTGGCAGCACCGTGCCAATGTGTTTGTCCTTCCTTCTGTGGCCTTAGCATTTAAAAGCAAAATGATGTGCTCAGGAAAGGTTGCATATGCCCTTCACATAAGATGCAGCAAAGGAGAAAATCTAAACCGTATAACCACTGAAACATAGTGGCTTTCACCCCTGTTAAAGGGGAGAGATTTTTCTTTTAACGTCCTTTATTTCTGGAAAGTTTCTAGGCTTCCCAGGAACAATTAAAACACATGTTTTCCTCTTTAAACTGCTCCATCGAGTTACTCACTGTAGCTGGTGTTGTTCCAGTCTGCACTGGGACTCATAGGCTTTCAAAGGGGATGAGGAATGGGCATTTACGTGCGCATTAGAGAAACCCCTCTGCATGAGAGACTTCTTAACCCAAGACCTTTGGGTGTTGTCAAGCTCTAACATCTGAAGTAATTTCATTATTTTAAAACACTTTTTTTTTCTTTTCCTTTTTTCCCCCCTTTTTTTCTTCTTTTTTTTTTTTTCCTTTAAATGCAGCCCAACTGCAGCGAGGGGCCTGTGGCATTTGGGTTTGTTTTGGTACCATCGTAGCTTTCACACCAAGTTATTTCACAACAGTTATTATCCAAGGGGAAAATAATTTAGGCTTCAACATTCCTCCTGCAGCCCCATTGCCCGCAACATCAGCTCTTCTGCTTAGATGCCTGTGTGCCGTGAGGTATAGATTTCATATAAATGTCGAGACCACTTAGATGCAAATCAAGTCCCAAGTTTGAGTGTGAGGTAGGGTGTCCCAGCAGACGGATCAGTTGACCTGGACATAGAGAGTCCTCCAGAATTGGTTTTTGAACATCCCATTCATTTTATTCCCTCTCTCCGTGACTCTCTTTCCTCTCTTGCCATGCTTCTCATGTCTCCTCTGCTTGAACCCCACACTCCCAGTGTGTGTACGTGCAGGACCTCATAGTGCTGTTGTGAAACGAGTAACATTTCCCTCTCTGCCCTCTCTAGAATGGACAGAGGAGTGTCCATCTCTCCCACCACCCGCTGCTCCAAACCATGTTTCAAACAACCAGGAGGCAGTTCGGGAAGCACCAGTGCAAGGTAACAACCTTGTTAAACCAGTTGTAAAAGTGCAACAAGGTTTTTTTCCTGAGAATGAAATTCCCTCAGCCACCAGCAAAAGGAATATCTCCATGACTAGTGTCACACACCAGGGCACGTGCCTGCTTATCTGAATTCACATAGATTTTGAGACTAGTTGTTTCGAGATCACATTTGTTGCCAAATGCAAGAGGCAAATGAGATCGCCTGCAACAAAAAAGGGTTGTGGCTATTCTCTGTATAGCATTCCAAGTCTTTAAAAAGGCATGGTGAAAACATGAGTTACAACATCGGTGGGATTTAACAGCAACTGTGGTGGATGCAAATGCAAGTAGGAGGAGACCCTTTTCTATAGAGCCGTATGGATATGCAAGGATTAGACTTTTACACCTTCTAAACTCTACTGAGTTTAGAATGTGGCTCTTATAATAAGATCTAGCGCAGAGATTTCTTTCTGTTCTCATAGGTCAACATTCCCTCCCAAAAAGCAGCACAAAATCTCACTGTGTTGCACTGTGATTAAGACACAGACATACGTTAACATGGTCATGTTCTAGTTTGAGAGCCAAAGCCAATGTCACCCCACATCTGCATTTGTGGGCAGGTAGATTTTCAAGTTAAAGTAGTTTAAGAGCCCTGGAAACTGGTCAGTGGAAACTGGTCAGTGTGTTTGGGAGCTGTGATGTGCATAGGTTGTCGGCACTGTTTGGCAGGACCTTGGTTTTGGAGAGCTTTGGGTGTCTTGGTTGCATTTGTGACATCTGAGCAGCCAGGCTCTGGTATTGCCATGGATGAGTCTGGCTTGCAACTTTATGGATTTTCCTTTTTGTGTGCTTTGAATCCAAATGAAAATTTTGGGGGGGGTAGGAGCTGGAGGGAACAGCAGAAGAGGGAGATCCTCTGCCATTTGGAGAGCTTTGCAGAGCTACCGGGCCTCCGTGCTGAATCTGACTTTCTGTAGTAACAAAGGGCAAAGAGGCACAGGCACCTTGGCCACATGTTAGGGGCAAATTATATCATGTTTCTGAAAAATCTGAGTTGAAGCTCCTCTGGGAAGCTCTGCATGAGGAGGGAATGATAATAGGTCCAAATACTGTGGACCTACTTTGAAGTTGTACATGTGTACAAGTACTTTGGGCTCTTACAGCCTTATTTATTAGCGTCAATGGTCTGTGTATAGCCAACTGCTCACAGACCAGTTGCTTGTCTTAAATAACTAACCAGACTGGACATGAATCGTTCCTGAATTTGCAGCGTGAGCTGAAACATTGCTAGATCAGGTTGCCAGCAAGGGCAGAGAGTCCTCCTTGTACCTGTTGCAGTACAAGTGCTCTCTGGTTACAAGTGGTTGTAAGTTGGCTTCATCTTTGGCTACATATAAATTGCATAGCAACGTAGCAACCGAATGGTATTGCCCCGGTCTGCAGGAACCAGAGGCTGGGGAAGGTGAGAGAGGGGGAATCTGGCTGGAGCATGTCATCCTGACAGAGCTGAGAGCAGCCGGGGCGGAGGCTGGCCCCGGGAGCTGGGAAATACTCCCATGCTCTGCAGGTCAGCCGTGGTCTCCGAAGGTGAGCCTGGCAAGGGTGCTGCTGTGCCGGGCTGCCTTTCCTGCCGTGAAGAGCCAGGGAGTGCTCTCTGCTGCAGGTGGCAGCAGATCAGCCCTTCCAAAACAGATGTGTGAAGTTTAACAGTATCCAAAGCCCCCAGCACATTCATTCCAGAGGGGTATTAGAGTACATTAGAGTAATCTAGACTTGCAGCAAAGAAAAACGCGGGAGGTCTGGGCATGGTACCCCGACCACCAAGCATCTGGGGTTAGGCATTTTATCAGAGTGCCCCAAAACAGCTGGTCTTCCTCAGGGAGACATCTGTGAATGCCATTTCTGCCTCTTCCACTGTCAGGCTGAAGCGAGGGCTGCCCAAGCGTCCATGCATGGCAATGCAAAGGACCTGTCACGCAGGGGATGACGTTAGAAGCCTCACTCAGTTCTCCACCCACTCCCGACTGCCAGCCACAAAATTTTGCAGTAACGTTACAGGAGAGAATTAGCCTGTCTCAGCACCACTCTGAGTGACATGTCCTGGTACCCGCTGATGACTCCTTCTCTCTTTCATTCCTTCCTTTTTCTTTCTCAGTGCTGCTGCCTCTTTTCCCGCTCCCCATTTGCAGTAGCTATTTCCAGCTTCCCTGTCCCCCTGCCCTATGCCCAGGCATTTTCGTATCTCCCACTGATGGCACTGCTGGTGGGGACATCGGCACAAGGACCCTTCCTTGTGCCCCTGGCATCGCTCTCCCAGCTGGAGTTTTGTAGATACACTCATTTAAAATGTGATCCCCTCCCAAATGCTCTAGGTGGGACGTAGCCTGTGGTGCTGCTATCCTACAGGGCACCTACAGGGCAACTACAGGGCAAGTTCACCCTGTGTTTGTAGGCAGATGCCAGCAAGCTGTGCTTGTTCTGCTTGTCTTTTGAAGCAGAAATCAGCACAGGACCAAGCCCCGCTGCACACTGCCTCTCAGCCATGTTTGTTACCTGAGACGTTGGGTTGCACTTTGATAGTCTGGGTTTTTTTGCAGCTTGGGGTCTGAGCAGAGCATCTGCCCACAATGTGCAGGAATACCGTGTTCCTGTGCTACCCTTTAAAGGCAGAAGACTGCAAGTCCTCACACTGCCCCCTCATGAATAATCTTCAAATATAGTTTTTTTTTCCCCAGTCAAAGGCTTACAAGTCGCAAATCCCCTCACTCTCCCTCAAGGTCTCCTTTCTGAACAGAGGCCCATGGCAATGCTGCCGAAGTTTTTGAAAGTACGCCAGCTCTCCTGGCTGCGATACACACTGCTGATCCTGGAGCTGTCACCAGAGGGCTTAGTGGCACAGTCTTTTCCCCTCTAAGCATTAAAAACAATTAAAAGTGCAAAGGTGTTTAGTGTTGGCACTCTGAAGTACAGCAACTGTGATTCCTCTTCCGAGCCTGTGCAACATGCTTTGCAAGGACGCGCTTTTGTCTTTGGAGCACCTTGCTCCCTCTTAACCGTGCTCCCAGAGGAGAGCATTAGCCCTCCAGCACAGCCACTCTGGTCCTGGGCCGCTCTTTGATCCATACTTCACAACAGCAGTGTTTCATCCACAACAGGCAAGGAGCAGAAAGGAAAGAGAAAAGACTTCAAACCGTGTCTGAAGATCAACATCAGTGCCCTCCCCTCTTTCACCGGAGGAGGTCACAGGGTGGTAGCGATGGTGGGGCCGGGGGGGTTATGCTAAAGGGTTATGCAGTGTCTTGCCACAGCTCAGAAGTTCCTTTTTGCTTGGCGGGTTGGGAGAAAGCCAAGTGGTGAAAAACATAATGATACTCCCTTCCGCAGAAATTCTTGCTGCAGACTCCTTCTGTAGGAGGCATTTGTGCTGCCCCTGTGCCATCCTTCCTGGGATGGATATAACCACCTCAGGACAGAGATAAGACACATATCTAAGCCAGCATTGCCAGCTTTAATATATTCCATTCCTTAAAGCAGCATGTTGTCCCCTTTGTGGCCTTGAGGCTTTGGTGTGCACAACCACAGCTAACAAAGCACCAGGTACTAGGGGGTTTGCTTACTTTTTTTACTGCATGATTGGATCCAAGGAGACGGGTGGAGTGCAATGAGATGAGAGGGTGCTGGAGTGAAGTTCAGTCCCATCCCAGCACACCGCTGTGTTTGTCTGTGTACTTGTTAGAGCGGGGAGGGGCAGAGAAAAAACAGATCAAACACTCTTGCCTGCCTGTTTATAGATTTTCCAAACTTCCTACACAGGAAAACCTTTTTTTACACGAAACCCTTCTGAGTTGAAAGGGAAGTTCATCCACACCAAGCTAAGGAAAAGCAGCAGGGGTTTCGGCTTCACTGTCGTTGGAGGGGATGAGCCGGATGAATTTCTCCAAATAAAAAGTTTGGTGCTTGACGGCCCCGCAGCGTTGGATGGCAAAATGGAAACAGGTACCGATGCTTTAAATCAAAATCCCTACCACCACTTTGGTTTATGTTTTTACAGCTGTTTTTATGTACAATTCATAAAGAACTTCAGTCCTCATCCCTTTTTTGGGGAAAGGCGTTCAACTTTCCAATCAGCAAGCAGGGAAGTGAGATACATTGAGAGATATGTTCAAAATCTTATAGCAAGGCACTTCACGTGCTGGAAATTCATCTCAGGTGTCAAAATACCCAGCTGGGGCTCTGCCAGCTCCTGCTCTCCGCACGCTGACCTGTGGAGAGGAGCCAGTGGTTGTAGGGTCCCGCGTCAGGCTGCGGGTTACTGTGCCCCGCTGTGGCAATGGCTGTGGTATTTTTGTAGGGCTGCATCACTCTGTGGTTTTTGTATCTGTCATGCCGCTCACCCCCTCTCCAAAGCTACTCCCAGGGAATGGGAAGAGAAGTGGGCTAGTTTGCATTTCCCTGTGTGGAGGCACCAAGGGCCAATTTGTTTTGCCAGAGATCAGGCCCAGCAGGATGAAATCATGTTAGGATTCACCCGAGGTCACAACTCCTCACTTCCAGGTGGAGCATCACAACATTAAACATCCCTGTGTTGCAGCCCCAGTGTTAAAAAATTAATCATAACTTAATTGATACCTAGATTTCAGGCCAAAGTATGTCTGAGACAGGACACGTGGCACCATATTTGAGCAGTTGGTATTTGAGAGCCTTCTGTTATAGCTCTCATGTGCTCTCAGTTTTGTTTCTATCATATGTCAGTGAAGCACAGGGTATAACAGTGAGAGTCGGGCTTCGAAATAACCGTTAAATGGGCCATATACCATCATTGGAATTTATTAATTTTTTGCATAAGCCAATTCCATTTTCACTTTCAAAAACGTTTATGTACATAAAGGCTTTATGCAGTGAATCCATCGTGTACAGATAGTTCTTGCTTGCCCAAATGTCACCGCTCCTTTTCCTTGCAAAGGTGCTTAAATGCTACTGTTGACCTGTGAGTGGTACCTGTGGATGCTGCGGATCAGCTCGCAGGCTCTAGTCCTCACCTTCCCAGGGTGCACAAAATGTATGTGTTTGGTATATCTGTCTGTGTCCTCTGCAGGGGACGTCATAGTCAGCGTGAACGATACCTGTGTGCTGGGGCACACTCACGCTCAAGTTGTGAAAATCTTCCAGTCCATCCCCATCGGTGCCAGCGTGGACCTCGAACTGTGCCGAGGCTACCCCCTGCCCTTTGATCCCGATGATCCCAACACGAGCCTGGTTACGTCCGTGGCAATTTTGGACAAAGAGCCAATCATTGTGAACGGGCAAGAAAATTACGACTCCCCGGCGAGCCACAGTAGTAAAACAGGGAAAGTAAATGGCACAAAGGAAGCAAGACCCAGCAGCCCGGCTGAGGTCTCTTCCAACGGACCCCATGGTTACCCCAATGACACGGTCTCTTTGGCATCTTCGATAGCAACACAACCTGAACTCATAACTGTGCATATAGTGAAAGGGCCTATGGGCTTTGGGTTTACTATAGCAGACAGTCCCGGTGGGGGCGGCCAAAGAGTGAAACAAATCGTGGACAGCCCGCGGTGCCGCGGCCTGAAGGAGGGCGATCTTATAGTTGAAGTCAACAAGAAGAATGTGCAGAGCCTCACTCACAACCAGGTGGTGGATATGCTGATTGAATGTCCTAAGGGAAGCGAAGTCACGTTGCTGGTGCAGCGAGGAGGTAAGTCTTCAAAACTGCTTTAAAATATTTCTTCTTGAAATTCAAAAAAAATGCATGTCATGAAAGACCTGCTCTCCTAAATTCTCTGTAGAAATGGTTTATGTCCTGAGGTGTAGGAACTGCCCCAAGTTGGCAGTTGTCAGGTCACGTAGATGGTTAAAATTATTTATCGTTTGATGCTGCACTGGGGGGAATGTGCATGTAGTTCCCATGCGCAAGTGCACAACACCCGTCTTCTGGTAATGCACAAAAGGGCAGTACGGTTACACCTTTACTTCCATAACAAACCCTGATCTCATGCTTGTAAAATTTAATTATTTTAAATAGAACACGGACATTTCTTGAGCTGTTCTGGGAGATGGAAGAGGCTGGTAATAACGTTCTGTAATTTGCAGTGTTCAAAATCAGATATTCAATGACTTTTCACTGTGGAAGGGTTACACCTGGGATACAGTTGGGAGCGGAGGAGAGAATTTAAACTCCTCCAAGTTGTAAGCAATTGAAATGTTACTTCTGGACACGTTTATTTGCTGCGCAATCGGGAGCTGAGCTCATTTTTGGTTGCATTGCTGAGAGGCCACCAGCAGGTACAAAAAACACCCTACAGGCAGTATGTCTGCAGCCCACGTGGGAGCATGGATGGTAGGTAACCTGTCAATGGGGTCAGTCCATCCACAGGAACTCTTTCCCCGCACATAGTAAGTATGAAGTAACCTGAGGTAGCACACCCCACCTCACGTAGCACACTTTTACTCTGTGGATTAAAATTACTGGAAGAGTTAGTGTTAAGCTCGCAGGGAAAGTCTATGTCAGCTCTTGAGTGCAAAGTCAAGAGCAGAGGGGTCAGCTCTCCCTCTCTCTGCTCTGGCATTGGCAGCAGGGATCCGAGAGGGGCAAAGCCCCAGCCCCGCTGTGCTCCCTTTCCCATGCAGTGGTTTTTATGGACAACACGCACATTGGTGCTCAGTGCCTCGCAGGGACGAGCACGCTGCAGAGACGGAGTTAAGCTGACAAGTAGGTGCTGAACGCAGCCCCCAGCCAGCCCTGGGAGGAGCGTTTTATATAAAAGTACTTTTCTGATGCCTTTTCTAAACTGTTTTGATTGTAGTAAGTTAGCAACAAAAGCCAGTCCGTTTTAACGGGGGACAAGCTGCTTTCTGAATTTGCAACTCTGGTTTGTTGTTTTTAAAGACCTATTTCAAGGAATTGAGGACATTGATTCTGCAATGAATAGCAGCTCTGGAGAAAGCACTGCCTTTCTTATACTCCTTCCTTTCCAAGTGCTTACTCTGTTTTTGTATTTTGATATTAAATTAAAAAATAGAGAACAGAATATATTAAGAATTCTCCAATTTTCAAAGTGTGAGTTCCTTAAAGACTTTCAGTACTAGAACGGTTTAAAAAAATGCACTGTGTTCTCATGATTAATATATGTATTATGGAGGAAATATGGTTGGAAGAAAAATAGCAGCTATTATTAATCCTCCTGGAGAGCGTATATATATCTGGTAACACCATACATTAATTATTTGAATTGTGGGTGACATTTAATAACCCTCTGTATGCCTTGAAGGTATAATGAAAAGATTTGATGAGGAAATAAAAGCATAGTTTTAATAAGATAGTAAATAGTTCCCTGGTAATCTTGCTGAATATCTCTCATTTTTTTATTTAATCGAGATACTAACCACATGTTGAGCATTTGCTGTCACCTTCCTGGGTAGATACCATATCAATCTCCTTGAACTGCCTCCCTCCTTTCAAGGTCCTGTCATTTCCATCTCATCGTAGAGCACTTGCAGTTCCAAATTTCACGCTTTCGTGGTACGGGACTCAGAAACTGTGGTGGCCCTGGATCCACAGTTAATCATTGAAACATGTTTTTCTTCACATCCAGAAGAAAGCTGGACCGAAAGGCACACAAGCTGTGGCACAGAAGCCAAGCAGAATACAGGCAGCGGTAGTAGCCCCAGCATCAAAACTAGTCGGGTTTGTTTAAAGCTTGTAAGATGGAGCTGGCTAAAACACACCTGGCACTCAGCGCTGCTGCACTTGGGTCCTTTCTCCCCTAACTTTACCTCGTGTTACCCTTGCCAAGTCTTCTATCAGAAGTGCCATCCCCAGACAAGGTGCCACTATTTATTTTGGTCCAATTATAGAAATGTATTTGGCTCTGGTGTCTGATAAGCTTCAGGGCTCTTGAAGAAGTTCTTCCTTAGCTTCACTGTCAGTTGTCCTTTCCTGCTCCTCCCTCTGGTGTCCAGTGAAGAAAATGCTCAGATGCTGTCAGGCATCCTTGCATTAGCCTAACATTTGCATTCAGTCAGGCTTTGCACGAAGCGTCCCTGCAACGCTAAGGCTGGTGTTCAGAGCTGTCGAACGGATTTGTCAGAAGTGATTACTAATCAGGCAGAAAAATATCAGAAAGAGATGTGTAATATATGGGAAAAGCTCTGCCAGCTCCAAGCTACTGGTGCACTCCCAACAACGAGATTTAATTGTTAAAATGCACACCTGCAGCCCCTGAGAGCAGCCTGTAAAATACTTACTGTAAAGTGTATTCAGCTGAAGCACTGGCTTATGGGAGCGGATGAGTCTTGCCGTTGCCTTTGAGTGAGGAACAGAAGGGTGATTTCAGGAAGGATGAAGCTGAAATGCCCCCTCTGTGTGCTCGGCTGCTCGCGTGTCATCTGAAAATCATTTGCAGGACTCGTACAAGGTTGGGGCAGGGGGATAAATACATTAAGAGAGGGACAATGTCAGGTCATTGAGATTTTGCTTTCCAGAGGCCCCATAGAAAACTTGCCTTATCTATGTTCTGGTTTAATTTTTTATTTTCCCCTTCCTCCTCCCCTCTCTAGGCCTTTATTGTATTATTGCTGTTGTTTTCCTATTTGACCTATACATAGTGCTGGGTAAAACTCACTAAGCATATCTCATGGTTTGGACTTCAACACCTGAGGGGTTCAGGAAGGATGAACTCTGAGCAGAGGCAGGGTTCAGAGGAGCTAATTGGGCTGTACACGGGACCAGATCGGAAAAGCTGCTTTTGCTTAGCAAAATGAGTGGACAGAGAGGACAAAATTATTGTCTCTATTAGGTAGGAGAGATACTTAAACCGAAGAGAGATCTTGGCTGAAGAACAACTGGGTGTTGTTCGGCTGTGAGTAATTTAAACTGTAAATAAGAAGAAAGTGCCAACCCATTAGAGCCTGTAAGTCAAACTGGAGGAGGTTTAAAGCCTTTGCTGCCTGAAGGTGAAGTCAGCACATTTGAAGGGGATATGACACGGTGCATGCAGCAGTAGAGGAGACGCTTCATAACCCAGCAGGACCATGGGTGTCTGAAAGTAAACCAGCACTACTGCTTACAAAATGCAGAATTAAGTATATGTTTTTGTCCATGCACTGCACAATGTGATTACACATTTCAGTTATTTTAAAGAATTATTGTTAATAAGGCCACAAAAGGCACACCTTTATTTTGAATATTTGTAGCTGAAAAGGTTCTAGTACTTTTCTCAAAAAAGCAAAGAAAGAAGGTAATAGTATTTGACACTTGAAATCCATTTGTCATTGAAGTCTTGTCTATGCACAGTAATAGACTGAAATAAGCAATTCTCAAATACCTCTCCATTCTGCACAGATTCTACTCATAATAAAAGCAACATTTTGTCAGAAATATTTCCCTGCGTCCCAAGGGACTTTTATTCTGGGAGTTTTGTCTATGCTGGGACAGGTGGGGGGCTGTTTCAGAACAAAGTATTCTGCAAAACTACTGTGCTGTATTTTTTGGAGTCACTAAGATCTAACATTTGTTTCAGTGAGAACGTTTGTGTGTCTTATTGATGTATTTTGTGAATTACCTCAGATCAAAGAGGATTATTTTTTTCCTTTTTTCCCCCATTTTTTTTTAAGGTCAGTCTTCAGTTCAGGTCATCCAGAAATATTGTGGTTGGTTTGTGTTCAGTTACAAAAATTAAGCTGAGCAGTTTTCATGCAGATTGGAATGGAGTTTCCCTTCAAAGCTTTCACAGTTAGTGCTCACTAGCATCTTTATTCACTGGAAGGTCGAAAATAGCATAAACCTTGAGCCTGATCTACGTAATCCCCTGGAAGATGTGTTCCCACTTTGCTCCAGATCAAAGTAAAAGCATGCAGGTGAAGTGTCACCCACGTCATGTGCAAATCAGTGGAGTTTCTAATAGCTTTCCCTAGTGCCAAATTCACATTAAACTGGGGAATGGAAATCCGTCTTCTGAAAAATATATGATATATATGCTGGAGTTTCAAAACTAAATGTATTTTATGGGAAGAAGAACCAGTACAACATCTACCTGTCTAAATGCCCGTCAGTGGGCACCTGAGTCCTACCTCCCTGTAAAAGCAAAGTCAGTAAATTCCCTGTTCATAGTTCAATTGAATGGAAGGTGTTTGTGGGGAGCGATGAGGTAGGTGGAAGTGGGGAGAGGTCTGTGCCAATAGTCCTGGTCATTTGGTCCTTGACTCAGTGGTCTTAAGAAGGTCCTTGTGATACATATAACTACAACAAAGATTTGCAGCAATGGGACAAAGTTACAAAGCTCTAAAGCAATAAACCTATTAAGTCTCCTTAGCTAGATGGACCTTCCCTTGCTGTTCTGGTGATGCTCTTGGCATGTGAGGGTGCGACACTTCCCACAGAGAGGAGTTAACTCCTCGTTCCTGTGCTGAAAGTGCGTGCTAGAGTCAACTGCCCTGGACGTGAAGGCTCTTTCTGTAGCCTAAAATAGAAGGACATCTTTTTTCTCTCTTTATTTATCTTGTGTTCATGCCGTTGAAACATCGCATAGTAATATAAAGATACGTGTCTTTTTCTTTACACTGCTTGCTGCAGCTTCAGGCTCCCCGCAGTCAGGGTAGAGAGAGTTACAAGATCCTTTAGACACAGTGGGAAAACTTTATAAATTGCAAGCACATTATAACAGTACAATTGAAAACAGATTGCTCTTTCAGATCTAG